AGCGCCGCGCACATTCGATTCAAAAAATTGCAATGGCTTCACGGATTGAGGGCGATGCCTTTTCAACATGTGGCTCTCGCCTTAGCGCCGCGCACATTCTTTGTAAACAGTTGCAAGAGTTTCCACGGGTTCCCATGATCAACGTACCAGAAATTGTGTTTTGGAAAGGTTTCAGGATTATGCGGGTGTAGCAATTACGTTGATTCGCGGTGTTGAAATCCCCCAAACAGGCTCTCTGGCAAGATTCCGGATCGGCAAGACGAAGCAGTCAGGTTGATACGTGGCGTTGCAGTCCCGAGAACACTGTTTTGGACTGCTTCAGGATCTTCAAACGGCTGTCTTCCAACGAGGTAGTTCCCTCAATGGACATGAACCGATGTGGGGCCTATGAAGAAGGAGCTTGGAGGGAGGATAATTCCAACATCGTTTATGACTCTAGGTTCTACACTGGTCCTCATCACCCTCCTCCCCCTCCTCCTCCTCGTCCTCCTCCTCCTCCTCCCCCTCCTCCTCGACAGTTACAAAATACGAATACTACTCTTCTCTCTCCCCTGGTGACGTCCGGAAAATGGCCGGCTCCCTTCCGCGTATTGTTTTTTTGCACACAGGGTTCCCCAGAAACGAATTTTCGCATTGTTTTCATGCTCCTCTGGCTGAGACGCTGGCTTAATTTTCGGGCCACCGTGCGTTCCGAATGGTGCTCACGCTGCAACGCTGGCCTCATTTCCGCGTTTCCGTTCGTTCCGAATCGTGCTCCCGCTGCAGCGCTGGCGTCATTATTTCCAGCACCATGCTACGGGATGGTTTTCGGTCCTTCCAAATAGCCCCTAAAATCTAGAAAATGACCCCACGGAAAACCATCGGAAGCGACCCCACATTTGTTGATTCTTTGGGTCGCAGAGGCCCCCCCCCCCCACTTCGGGGCGTCGCCACGCCATGCTATGTCAGGTTCCGCGTCCTCCGAATCGTGTTCCCGCTGCAGCGTTGGCCTCATTTCCGCGCTTCCGCTCGTTCAGAATCGTGTTCCCGATGCAGCGCTGGCGCCATTATTTCCAGTGCCATGCCACGGCATGATTTCGGGCCCTCCAAACAGGGCCCAAAATCTAAAAATGGCCCCCTCAAGAAACCATCCGAAGTGATTACACATTCGCTGTGTCGATTCGTTGATATTTTGGGCCGCAGATGCCCCCCCCACTTTGAGGAGTCGCCACGCCATGCTATGTCATGCTGCGCGTTGATCTTCAGCACCATGCTATGCCATGCAATGTTATGCCATTCTACGACATCCGATTGTGCGACTAGAGAAGAGATCTACGCCATGGGAAGGGATGAAAGGGAGGGGTAGGAAGCTTGATATGACGCGAGCGCACCCAGCTTGTCCTCCCCCCTCCCCCTCCTCCCTCTTCTCCTCCTCGTCCCCTTCCCCCTCCCCCTCCCCCCTCCCCTTCCCTCCTGGTCCCCCTCCTTGTCCGCCGGCGTCATTTTTTCCCAAAATGCTGCTCTCGTTGAGGCGCCGGCCTCATTTCTGCTCCCGAATCGTTCCGAATCGTGCTCCCGCTGCAGCGTGGGCCTCATTTTCGGATCGGTGCTTGGCCTCCGTCGTTCAGGATGGCGTTCTCGCCCCAGCGCGGGCCTTTTTCTCGCGCGCCCATCCGCCCGCCACCACCGCGCCGCACCGCCACCACCACCACCACCACCACCACCAACACCAACACCACCACCACCATCACCACCACAACCACCACCAGCACCAGCACCAGTACCAACACCACCACCACCAGCACCACCACCACCACCAGCACCACCACCACCACCATCACCACCACCACCACCACCACCACCACAACCACCACCAGCACCAGCACCAGTACCAACACCACCACCACCAGCACCACCACCACCACCAGCACCACCACCACCACCATCACCACCACCACCACCACCACCACCACCACCACCACCACCACTACCACCACCACCACCACCACGACAACCACGCACACACGCACGCACGCACGCACGTGCACCACCACCCACTACGCACGCGCGCGCGGAGCCACAGGTCCGCTACGACACGCGTCCGCGGATAGAGAAAATCAGCGCCATGGTAAGGGATGGGAGGGAGGGGTAGGACGTCAGATATGACGCGAGCGCACCTAGCTTGCCCCCTCCCCCTCCCCCTCCCCTCCCCCTCCTCCTCCTCCTCCTCCTCCTCCTCCTCCTCCTCCTCCTCCTCCTCCTCCTCCTCCTCCTCCTCCTCCTCCACTCCTCATCCCCCCCCTTTTCCTCTCCCCCCTCCGCTTCCCCCTCCTCCTCCCCCGTGGCTGGTCGACCACCCTCCACGACGCGTGTCGGCGCCAGCGTGCGCTCGCCCACAAACAGGAACTCGAGGAGGAGGAGGGGGAGGAGGAGGAGGAGGAGGAGGAGGAGGAGGGCCGCACAACAGGAGGGCCGGCACAGGCCAGGCTGCGCGCGACCGGGGGGGCCGAAGGTGGTCAACACGTACGCGTGGGCGCACTGACGCGCACCATGGGGATCATCGAGTGGAGGGACGAGGAGGAGGAAGGGGGAGGGAAAGGGGGACGAGGAGGAGGACGGGGAGGGAGGGGGAGGGGGAGGGGGAGGGGGACGAGGAGGAGAGGGGGGAGGAGAGCTATGTTGCTCCCACCGTACTTGAGGACCACATCCAAGAAACAAATTCGAGAGCCCAGAAAGGTGTCGAAACGGTGTCGAAACCGTGTCGGACGACTGTTTCCCAGGGCCCGACATGTGAAAACCCTCGAGTTTCGGTACTTTTTGGGTGCTCGAGATTATTTCTGGTGATCCAGGCTAAAGTAGGTTGGAACACCGTAAAGGGGGGAGAGGAAGACCCCCACATCCTCTCGGTGTGCCAATTTCGGTTTCCAAGGGCCCCTACTGGGCCACAGGGCTGTCGGACGTCGACCAGGGACGAAAATGTGATCCCGGGGACGGGTTCCAGATCGCCGGGGTGTGAACACAAAACGACGTCGGAGCTCTGCCGACGGAGGAGGACTGGGTCAAATTTATGTTGCGTCCTTAAAGGGCCTTGTCTGTCCCGTCGCGGCCCTATGAACGTCGAATCCGTGTCGAACCCATGTCGGACTCGTCGGATCCCGTGCCGAATCCGCGTCGAACCCACGCGAAATACGCGTCAAGTCCGCATCGAGCCCGTGTAGGCACAAGAAAAGACCCCAATTTGGGGGACAGGCGAGGCCCCCCGAAGATGCAAGAACAGAGAAAGAGGAGGAGGGGGAGGGGGAGGGGGAGGGGGAGGTGGAGGAGGAAGAGGGGGAGGAGGAGGAGGAGGAGGAGGAGGAGGAGGAGGAGGAGGAGGAGGAGAAGGAGAAGGAGGAGGAGGTGGAGGACGAGGTGGAGGACGAGGACGGGGAGGAGGAGGAGGAGGAGGAGGAGGAGGAGGAGGAGGAGGAGGAGGAGGAGAATGCTGAAGGGTGCCAGTCAGCAGCGAAGCCACAGCTGGACAATTACACCCCCCCCTCGGGGGTCGGCTCTCGATAGCAATCTATCTCCGAGACTTGGGTTTCAAAAGTGACTTGATTACGCTCGAGCCTGCCTCAACTCGGAGGCGCCCCGCTCCCTTGTCATTGGGCCACTTGTCGCCCTTTGGTGGGAGCCCCTTGCGCAATCTGCTGAGATAATTATCTCCCGAGGGGGTGGTCCAACCACGGCACGGCTTCGCCAAGAGCAAGAGACGGCCCCCCCCGTTCACCACGGTGCCCAGACTGGCGCATTTCCAACACCACACTTGCCCGTTACGCATGGCCACGCAATGGGAGGGGTGGACCTGCCTGTCGGCCGTCCTCAACTCCGTGGTCACAGGGCGGGGCACAAGCACAACATTATCATTCTCGCTCAAGTGCCGTTTGGTGGGGCCCCCCTCACAGCGGTTACCTTCGAGCCCGAGCCAGTCCACAAGCGACGACCCAGGAGGCGGCCCAAGACGGCACCGACGGCACAGCCACGCCCCATTGGCCAACCGCCCCAAGTTGTGGCCCGACACACGCTCGAGCTCGACTACCCGCCTGGAAGCAGCCCCCCCTCCCCCCTCGGGAGTCCGTGCACACTGCTCGCGGTCCTGCAACGCGAGCTCCCTGGTCACCGCGGCCAGGCGTTGCTGGGCGAGGGTCGCGCAGGCGTCCGCGACGCCTAAGGCCTTGATCTCTCCTCTGATGGCCGCACTCGCCTCCTCAGCCCCTCTCTGGGCATAGGCGTCGGCCAACTCATTCCCACGGGAGACGGAGGGAGGCTGGGAGGACAGGAGGTGGGACTGGGCATCGAGGTGGGAAAAACACTTTCGGGGGGTGACAACCCCAGGGCGGGCTTGGGCAGCGGCACTGACTCTCTGCCACCACCCCCTGAGCACACCGCTGGGGTCATCAAGCTTACCCCCGTGCCACCCATCAAAGACTGCCTGGTTATCAGTATATATAATTATATCCCCAGTCGTGAGCTCCAAACACCACCACAAGGCAGCGAGCTCTGCTGCTGGGACGGTCTGGCGGCCGTCGACTCCCCCATACCACCCAGGGAGGGGAGGGGAAGGGTCCGAGGCTCCAGGGACGGGAGGGCCATGCAGTCCCATCTGGAGATAGACGCCCCACCCCACACGCGCCACCCGCAGGTCCGACGACGTGCCAGATCCATCCAAGAAGCCGACCCTCGCCTCCAGCCTTCGGGCTGGCGTCACTTCTCCATTGGGACCGATGGCGGGTGGTGGGGTGTCAACAGCTCTAACACGCCAGGCATTCACATCCCCCCACTCTGGTGGGGGAGGCACAGGGTTCCATGACAGGGGAACGATCCCTCGGAGCCAAAGCGATTCATTAACCCCTCGGTCGAGGTCGCGGATCGCTCGCTCGCACAAGTGTCCCGCTCTGGCAATCCAAGGGTGCTCCAACTGGGCCAGACAGGGGCACTCGTAAGTCCTATGTCGCGTGGTATCTGGGGCCCCTAGATCACACCTAGTGCACAAGCCGTCTGTCTGATAGCCAGCTCGCTTCTGGCGATCTCCATTCCAAATTGTGGCACACGCTATCCCCTCCAGGGCGCCAGCTTCCTGGTACATATCTTTCTTATGCATGCGCTTGACATTAAGTTGCAACATGGTGAGGTCCCCCCCGCCCTTGAGGCAGGCTCCTTCACTGTGCAGGGAGACTTGCTTCCACAACTGCTTCTGAACTGACTGGGCCAGGGCATCACAAATTTCAGTCACATCCTCGGACAGGTCGGGGTTGAAACGCCACTGAGCACCGTCGGGGTCCTCCCAAACGTCAGGCTCAACCCCAACCCATCCCAGGGAACGAAGGGTGAGCAACAAGGCCCCCATAGGCCCCGTTACTGCTCGCCATCGGGATCGGGGCTTCAACCTAGCAAGCTTAAACTTAGTGGCCGTCCAACCCCTCCGAACCTGCTGCCTGAGGGTGGGGTTGTTGGCCCAGAAAATGAGCCACTCTTTGGCCTGGCGCTTCACGCACGCAACCCAAGGGTCCCCCTCCCCATACATCAGCAGCATGACCATCGCGGTGCAGCGGCCTTTCTTTCCAAAACCAGCTAAGTCCGCTGCCAGAGCTCTCCGCTTTCGGATTTCGGTCGGGGGGAGGCCGAAGAGAGGGCTATCGTAGGACATCTTAGCCCGCACGTTAGCATTAAATAGGAGCTTGCTTTTCTTTCGTCGGGCCCGTCCCAAACTGGCGAATAAACCGGCCCTGGTGGCCCGAATTTTGCCGAGTCTACTCCTTCTTGTTGCCGTTTTCCTGGATCTACGCATCCCCATGGCGTTGTCGGTCCCCAGGTCCTTCATCTCCTTGCCTTTCTCGATGGAAACATTTAACTCTGCCAGGGACCTCTCCACCTCCAGGGCGTCCTGGGGGTTCTGGGCAAGGATGGTTGACTTGTCGGAGATCCTGAGCCTCGCCTTGAGGCAGCCTCCAACCAGGACGCTCGCTGCTTTCGACACCGCTGCACCTACCACGTCGTCAGGGCCCTCGACCCTCACGGTGATGTCGTCCACGAACTGTCGCAACCTCGCTATCGGGACGGCTAGATGTACTTCTTCTAGCACATGATAGAGTAGTGCTCGCGCTCCGTGGTTAGCTTTCCCGCATCCTGGTACCATCCCATTGTCAGGAACGATCAAGTCACTGAAGATCTTATTAGCCTTGACTAGCCTAGGGCAGAGGTACGACATGATGCACATGTACAGCTCTACTGGGGGGTACTCGACCTGTGCTGCACGTACTGCGAATATACCTAAGTCCACCAAATCGTAGAACTTCTCTAAGTCCTGGAAGAACGTAGCTTGGCTGGCTTCGTCTAGATTGGCTCGTGTTTCGTCCAGAACTAGTGTTAGCAGTGCCGACTGCAACGCCGAACTCTTTCTTACTGCCGCGTCCCAGAACCCCGCTTTTCGATCACACCACTCAGTTAATCGATGTTTGGTCATCTTACCCCAGACTCTCATCGTCACCGGCATCAGCCCTATGGGCCGCTCTTCCCCCGCTATTTGTTTGTCCCCCTTTGGTGGTAGGGCATGCCACATCTGCATTATCTGATGAGGCCAAGTCAACTGCCTCTCGCACATGTTCAGGATGAGGAGGAACGATTCCTTGCACGACGGGCTGAGCGCTCGCAACTGGTCTGGCGCCCATTGATCAGCACCAAGCCCAGTCCCCGCCTGGAAGCTGCTCAGCGCCATGTCTAGGCACTCACGCGTGAGGAAGGGCCTTTCGGCGAGCGCCTCCAGGGCCTTGCTCTTCAGGTCGCGCATGGCCTGCGGGAGCTCCTTCGTGGCAAACTCCTTGTGAGCCGTCCATCGCCGTTCCCACTGCCGTCGTCGAAGTTGAATTCCTTTCTGCGGGTCCATCTCCCACTTCTTGGTGTCTGTGTCCAAGCATCCATCACTCGTGTCGATTCGCTCCTCGGAACTCAGATAACGATGTGCTCCTTTCATCGCGTTGTCTGATGCCTTCTTGGCCCACGTTCGTACTTGTGCTCGAGTGTCCCGCCAAGCCAGGGTAGCATGACGGGCTGCTCGTCGGGAAACTTCAGCTATCAGTTCTGCTTCTTCCGATGCTTCGCTCTGATCTGCTCCAGTTCGGTCAAGGGGCTCACCTAGCTCAGACCTCGACGTCACGGAGGGCCCACCTGGCTCGATCAGGGTGGTGGGGGAGTCGAGGGGCTCACCTAGCTCAGTCCTCATCTGCTCCTGCCCACTGTGGCCTAACCCCTCGCCACGCAGGGGGAAGTTACCGCTGTCTGTGCTGCCATTGCTATCACGGATCCAGCAAGCTTCCTGTCCGCCCGCGCCGCTCGCTGGAGCTCCCTCCTCCCGTGGCTGGAGTGCCCAGGGCGCGGGTCGCCCAGGTGGCGACGGTGATCCAGGGCTCCCTTGCGGGGCCCTGGAGCGTTCTGACATCCAAGAACTCCCAGTAGACAGCACATCAAAGTAGAACTGCTCGCATTCCCTGTCGCTCTTGGCCCCAACCCCGTAGAGCGGGCCAGTTGGGGCGGCGTACTCCCAGTAGACGGCGTCGAGGGTGTCGAACTGCTTGCTTCCCTCGTCGCTCGTGGTCCCAACCCCGTAGAGCGGGCCAGTTGGGACGATGTGCCCCCAGTCGGTGGAGCCGTAGGTGTCGAGCTTCCCGCCATCGAGGTCCCTCGTGTCCCCAACCCCGTAGAGCGGGCCAGTTGGGGCTGCTCAGCTGTACTTGCCGTCGCACCTCCCCCCTCTTCTTCAGCAGCCTCCTCCTCCAGCTGCAGCTGCTGAAGGTTGGGCTCGTCCGCCTCCGCATCCATCTGCACGAAGGGGTCGTCCTCGCAGTCCATGCTGCTGGTGGCCACTGGTGGGGCGATCAGCTCCGCCGTCGCCTCCTTCTGGGTGCCGCTCTCTCCGGCCTTCCGCTGCTTTTTTGACGGCTTTGGGGCCGGCGGGCCCCGCAGTGACTGACAAGGCTGACCTGCTAGATACTGCGTCAAGTTGAGCAGCACCCTGCTGTCCTCCTCCATGTCCCTGTCGGTGTCCTGATTGCCGCCCTTGGCCTGGTCGATGAGCTCGATGCGCTGACTGAGCGAGCGCATGACGCTCTCAACCAGCTTCAAGTCTTCATCCTTCTTCTGCCGCGCCTTCAGTATTGCCGACTCCCTCAGTCTGGCAGCCAAGGCCTCCCACAGATTCGCCTTTTCCCTGAGGGCCGCGTCCAAGAAGGGGTCTGTCTTCTCTTGAATGGTGACCTTGCGCAGCGTGAACTTGGGATTGCATCCTCTTCGCACCTTATCTTTTGGCTTGGCATCCGTCATGATGCACAGTGACTGCTCCGCTGCTACTGACCATTCGCCAAAGTGGTAGGCCAGCTTGTTGGAGCCCTCAGGGTCCAGCCGATACGCCCAGGAGTCTGCCACATCATCAACTGGGTCTTGCACCGCTCGTCCTCGGGTGTCTGCCAGCGCCTGAAACCACTGCTCATCGCTGGTTGCCTCTTTCTGCTCCGTGGCATACGTCGTCTCCAGGAGGTGCGCATACTCATCATGATGCAGGTCTCCTGGTGTCGCTGCATTCTCGTCGCGCTCTGCTGCTGCTGCCACCATCTTCTGATACTTCTCACGATCACGTTGGGCTCGCTTGAGTCCTTTCTCTTTGTGGGCCGTGGTGGTGGCGATCTCGATCTTCACTGGCTGGATCGGCATCTGCACCTTGACCGAGGCGGGTCGCGAGTGCAGGCGCAGGTGGAGGCCCACGTGTGGGCTCCATGGAACTTCCCTCACAGGCTTGAATTCTTTCACAAACGGGCGAAAGTCTCGCGAGGCTATCCCGTAATCAATGAGTCTGCCTTTGCCTGTGGAACATGTGACGGTACAATCGCTTGGTATCAGCAACTCTCCCCTCAGAGCCTTCAACCATGGTGACTGCTGCATCTGCGTCGGTGTGTTGTTCCAATCTCCGAGTGCTACCCATGGCACTCCTAGGGACTTCACCACTCGTGTCAGCTGTACCATCTTGGCGACGTTCGCTGGTCCGTCTAGTCCCACACTGCAATCAAGATACACCGAGATCAAAGCCAGCGTCGCCCCTTTCAAACGCCAGAGGATGATCGAGATGTCGCGCAGTTCTTTCTGAAATACACTGTGCCCCGTGCCATCGGGCAAGTGTGCTGCCGTGACGTGACCTGCTCTGGCAAGCCAGCGCGTCCCCCCTTGAGTACCAGACTTACTCCGCATCGATGGTGTCGCAGGCGTCCACGAGAACTGGGATTGCCACCCCTTGAATCTCAGTTTCTTGATCTCCTGCTTGGCGGCCTTTGGGAGCAAGTGATGCTCTGCTAAGCCGACCATGTCAAAACTGCAGTGCTCCACGTAGTGTCGCACCTTTTCCCCGTAGTGCGTGACATTAGCGAACAGCACGTCCACATAGCCACTCTTCATTCGTGTAGGTCGTTCTTTCTTTGTGCCGACGACGGCGCCGTCAGCAGCTCGACGGTGCAACGCTGGCTGCCCCCTTGGCCCTGGCACGGAGCGCCGCTGTCTTGGCAATGTACTGGTCGATCGCGCTCGGGTCCGTGAAGTCAACCGCCTCTGGAGTTGCCGCTGCGGCGCTCTCGTCTGGCTTCGCCGCTGCTGCATCTGCTCCTTGGGCTTCACCTCCCGCCCCTCTGCGCCTCTTGATGGAATGGTGCAGCGTTCGCAGCCTCTCTGCAGCCTCTCGCGCCGCCTTGCCCGCGTCGGTGGCCGACTTGAGCACGTTGCGAGCCTGCTTGTGAGCCGCTGCCGCTTCTTCGTACTGTTTCCGAGTGGGCTCGTCGAGGGACGCCAACTCCTCGGTCTCCAACTCTGGGAATTCTTTTTCCTGTTCTTGATGAGCCTGTTGTGCTCGCCGTGCTTCCGACTGAGGTCCTGCTGCCTTGGTCTTGCCAACCAATTCGTCAATCTCAGCCTGCGCCGACTGGCACTCATCAATGTTGGTCCTGAGCTTGGTCTGCATATCCTTGAGCGTCTGGGCCGCCTGCACCAGCTGGTTCTTGATCCGCCCCTGCTGCGCCTGGAGCTGGCGGAGCTGTTGCGCCTTCTGAGCCAGGCGCTCCACTGGTGAGGTCTCTGGAGGCGGCTTCCACGCAGCCTCCAAGTCTGGGCAGACGGCCAGGAGCTTGGTCTGGGCCTCCTGATCTCCGTCCTCCTTGGCCTTGTTGAACTTCGGGAGGAGTGCCTGGAGGATCGGGTCCAGGCCCAATCCGCTTCCCTTGAGGCAGGATCGGAGGGGCAAGCTGGCGCCCCCCTCAGTCTCCCCCAAGTCGAATGTGACGATCGCCCTGGCTGGATCCTTCCACAGTCGGCCACACTCTCGGCAACTCTCCCATCCCGTCTTCCCTGAGGAGGAGGAGGAGGAGGAGGAGGTAAGATGGCTGAGGGCCGAGGAAGAGGCAAGAGTTTGGACCCATCCCCGAGGGAGCGCCGTGGCGATCCGAACTCCCACGGGCGCGCCAACGAGGCCCTCCGGCGGCCTCGCCTCTCGCCGAGCGCTGGCCTCGCCACCCCGGCCCCCAAGCGCGAGCCCAGACGAGGCGAGCCGAAGAGCCAACAATTTTTGTCCGTCGGCGGCGAGGCGGCGAGCTGCGCGCCAGCGAGATTGAAGGGGCCCTGGGACACACAGCTGGCAGGCCTCCCCACCTTTCGCCAGATGTTCTGGGTTTTTGTTTTCCCCCCCAAGTCCCCTATTGTCCCCTATCTTCCTGGGAAGCGACGATTCAGTGTGTCTTCTCTGTCTTTCTTCCCCTCCTGCGAGAGGCTGGGCAAGGGGCACAGACTAGCGAACTGGCCGGCGGGCCAAGAGGGGGGGGGGGGGGACGGCCGAGAGGAAGGAGGGAGACGCACGGCCGTCGAAGAGTTCGGCGACGAGCACAGCCGGGGGGGGGCAGCAGCAACCGGGCGGAGAAAAAGGGGGAGAGACGCTCTGGAGGAACCAGCAGCATTCGTTGTCGCTCCGATCGGCGCCCCGGCGCGCGGAACGAGCCGCCAGGGGCCGCGCCGGAGGCGCCGCCGCGGGGGGCCCAGCGCAGATCCAAGCGATCTGCGCGGAGCTCGGAGAGATTCTGTTGATACGGTTGTTCTTTTCCGGGAGAACAACAGGTACCGCGGACCTGTCGGGGCCCGTCGCTTGGCAGCCGCCAGGGCCGCCCTGTTCTCTGGGGAGACCTCCAAGCCACTTCTCCGGAGATGCCCCGACCACGCCTGGAGCACAGGAGCACGACAGAGGCGGCCAACGATACGACGTCTGCCCAAGCCGATTCGACGGCAACGCAGTGGCTGCAAGGGAACAAGACGGTACCGATACTGCTGCACCACAAACCTCTCCCTGGGAGCGCTCTGACTGGGAAGCGGAGGCGAGTCGAGGGCCACCGCAGGCGGCTCGAAAAGGCAACAACGATGGAACAGCATCGGCATCGGCACGGCAGGTTCGTGTCGCGACGGCGTACGCGTTGGCTTCTGCCACCGCGAGGATCGTCCAAGCCTGAGCGGCTGCGGGCTCCCAGGGGCGCAGATTAGTTTGGCATCGGCCGATCCCGAGCAACCGGCAGCGTGCAGCCTTGAACGCCCGCGGCGGGGTTTCCCACCACGTCGACACGACACGAGCCTACCCGCACGCGCGTCAACTGAGGGTGTTCCCGAACGGCCCACAGAATGAACTGGGCCTCCCTGCTGTGTCTGCGTCTCACGACGGTTCACACCGCCTGGCTCTGCCACAGAAGTGCGCTTGCCCGAGGGCGTGAAGCGGCGATGGCCCAGCGGCCACTCCGTCGACGGCACCTTGTCGTGAGGGCCAGAGGAAGAGGATAGGGGAACCGCCGAATCACCGCAAGATCTCCATGGGCAGGACCGGCAGGATCGAGAGATCATGTGTTGCATCGCCCAGGATTGCGTCGACAGGATGAATGTTGTGGTCAAAGTCTCGTCACGCCGCCTGCGGATGGCTGCTATTCTTCCACGGTGACTCCGAGCAGATGTTGCCGCACGCGGTAAACTTGGATTTCGAAACGACATACATGTTCACCACCATCACCACCGTACACCGACACGTTTCATGTCGCCCGCCCCCCACATGTTTTCGCATGCATCATCACCGAACGATCTCGCGGGCACCGCAAACCTCAATGACAGACCTGGCAGCCGAGGAGGAGGATGAGAAGGAGGAGGAGGCGAGGCGCCACCCTCCACTCTGGTCTCTTCGACCGCTTGTGAAAGCATCTGTGACAAGGACCTGACGTCCGCGACTCTGCACGCCCACTTCGCGCCCGGGTGGCCCAGACGGACGTCACTGCCGCTGCGCGCGAGGGGGCGTGGGAGGGGGGTCGCGCTCTGCGGGGCAGGGCGAGGAGCGGTGCAGCACGGGTGGCGCTCTTTTTTGTTATTGTGTCCTCTCCCCGCGCGGCGACCACCCCTGCATGCCGACGAGGCCGGCGGACCGTGAGGCTGCGGAGCACACGGGCATGTGCCCGAGCGGCGCCGGATAACGCACAGCAGGCCATGTACTTCAGCATGCCGACTAGGCCGGCGGACCGTGCGGCTGCGGAGCACACGGGCATGTGCCCGAGCGGCGCCGGACAACGCCTAGCATACAGCAGGCCATGTCCTTCAGGAGCGGTGCAGCACGGGCGACGCGCTGCCGCTCGAGGCGGCGAGCGGGGGCCGACGACCCACACCAGAGCTCCCCAATGCAATGCCCGCAGGCCCGCATTTTCTGGACTAGGGTGCTGCGGGCCTCACGCGTGCTTTTTTACAGTGTGCCCCGACCCCCCCTCACCACTGGGAGTGGAAGGCGAATTGAGGCCCTCGGGTGAGGTTGGGGTCTCGCTATCGCTCGGACGTCCATTCCCTGTGTTTTTGTTTGGTTTCGTACGTGGATTTTTGGCCAAATGGTCCAGGATGCTCCTCGATGGCCCTCGCCGAAGGAAAAAATGCACACGTCCGAGCGGTGCCAAGGGGTGCCTTGGCGGGCGGTGAGGGGCGGCCTCGACGCGCCCGCGTCGCTCGCCCAGGTGGCCCGGCCCCGCTGCTCGGCTAGAGCAGCAGCCCGTTGCATGCCCAGCCCTTTGGAGGCCATGGACTTCAGCCCGTGCTTTTTGTCAGTGTGCCCCGACCCCCCCTCGCCACTGGGAGCGGAAGGCGAACTGGGGCCCTCGGGTGAGGTTGGGGTGCTCTGGCGGGCGGTGAAGGGCGGCCTCGACGCGCCCGCGTCGCCCGCCCGGACGGCCCGGCCCAGCTGCTCGGCCAGAGCAGCAGCCCGTTGCATGCCCAGCCCTTTTGGAGGCCCCGCGCGCCCGAGGGCGCGGGGCCCCACACGTGGCCCACCACCGGGAGGTCCTCCCCCATTGGAAGGGGGACTGGGACACACCAATAAATAGGCACAAATCAAAAGATTCCCCATATACTTTCCCAGATTTCCTGGGTTTCTGTCTTCCCCCCCACTTCCCACACTTTCCCATATTTTCTGGGGATCGACGATTCATTGTGTCTGTGTGTGCTTCTTTTCCTCCTGACCCTTGGCCGTGGGAGCGCTCGTGGCTCGAGCTTGTAGGGAGCACACAAAGGACGTACGCACCCAGCTATGTACATGAGCACGGCCCCTTGACCCGCGAGACCTGCCGCGCGATACGAACATTCGCGCAGTGCGAACTCTCGAAACCAGCGTGGATTCATGTACATGTACGTCCTTCTTTCGCTCCTGAGCTTGGCGCTTCTGGCTCAGCACGGCCTCGCGCCCGCGGGCCGGCCCTCCGAGCGCAAAGGGGCGACGGCGGGGCCTGCGCTGGAGGCTCGGGAGGCGGTGGAGGACTTGGCGGAGGTGCACGCCGCCCTGGACCGGCATGCCGAGTGCCGCAGCGAGCGCCGCGTCGCGGGCAGGCCGCTGCCGACATGGAGGCTCGCGTCAGCAGGAGGTGGAGGCTGCGCAGGGTTTGAGCCGCCTGGCCGCGCCCAACCCTTATCGGTGTGTCCGTGCGCTGTGTCTGCTTGCCTCGCCTGTGCTCTGCATCATGCCGTTGCCGACACCTCCGGGGCCTCGCCCCCATGGCTTGCCCAACACCGAGGCGAGGCGAAGCGCGCGTGTCCGACGGCCGATGGCTGGCGGAGCCCGGGAGGCGGGCGCGGGCGGACCAGGACCCGTAGCTGGCGTGGGCGGCGAATTCGTTCTCTGGCGGCTGCCAGAATACAGCGCTCGCTGCAAATATCACCCACTTGGCTGCGTCGGCCCCGGCGATCGTGTAGTGCAGGAGCTGCGTGATGTCGTCGCCCCACCGCTCTCGCTGTGCACCATGTCTGCGGCGAGGCTGGCGTGGGCCGTGGTCGTCGGGGCCCCAGGCTGCAGCGAGCTGGGTCCATATCCCTGTCGGGATTGCGTTGCTACGCATATCTCTGTCGGCATTGTGTTGCTACGAATCATGCCCAGCGACCTTTCCGCTTGTCATACAGCGTTGTCCATTCATCCACGTGCGAGCGCGATGCCCGCAACGTATCTGCATCTTAGGTCGCTCTGCGAAGGTATTCGTCCCATGATTGGATGTCGGAGTCGTCGTTGACGTGGCCGACATCGGATTGCCGCCAGATGTCATTGGGGCTGCTTTGTGGTCCGTCGCCGTGCTGCTCTGCATTTGGAGCTGGCCGTCTCGTCGGTTGATGTAATTTGGTGGTTTGCTTGTCATCGAGAGGTCTTCACAGTGAGTCGCAACATGCGTCGATGGGGGGCGTTGCTATGCTAAGGGCGTGTCTTTGGTGAGCGCCCGCGAGGTGCAGCCGCACATGACGGCCGGTGGATACGTGCAGTGGAAGCTAGTCCACAAGAAACATTCTACAAGAAACCCAACCCTGAGAGTCCGAGACGTCCATTTATTTCTGGTGTGGGAAAATAGCGCCTTCCATAGCAAAGCCATCTAAAACCAAGAAACCCAGGACACCCTGGAGGTAAGACAGGCGCATCTTGGCATGGGTCTGCACTGTATCGGCTTGCTGGTCAGTTCGTCGCGGAGCTTGTGGAACGCACTACTCCAATGGCAATACGGTCGGTAAACTCCAGTCGGTGGTAGTCGTGGAGCGTCAGCTTCTGGCCCCGATGCTGAGGGGTCTCCTCGCTCTGGAGACGCTGCTTGCCCTTGTCTCCTGCTCGCGTTCGTGAGACATGTTGTTTGTTATTGTTTTTTTTTACCGGGATGTAACTCAAGTCCGCACTTCGCGGCTGTGCGTTTGAGGTCGCGTAGAATGCATCTGGAATGTCGCAGATTGTGCGCGATGTTGAAGCCTCTTCAACAAATCGTTTACATGGTAAGAACCGTTTGTTGTGCAGCCCAGCTGTATGCCGACCCCCTTT